TAATGACGGCGGACGGTGCCGCCAGACAATATAAATAAATGGATGTCACCAGCACACCAAAATCATTGCTGAGCCTGATGAAGGGGACCCTGCGCGGCCCCCCTAGTTCTGATGACATGGCGTTTTAAATAAGCGAGCACCTTGGACTACAATGCTCGTGGTGTGCCGGTGACATCCATTGATCCCTATACCATAAGGCAGCAGCAAAGTGTCCCTGGAAATGAGGCAGAAGATGAATGCGTATTGCTAGTTGTCTCTCTGTTATGTTCATCCGAAGGCTTCCATACCCGGAGTCACCGGCCTACAGCAGAAATAGCGTCCGTGCCTCCTCTGTGTAATTGACTCGGGAGGTTTTGGGGCCAGAGACAGCCAAGCAATCAGCATTTTCGGGGAGTCCTGTCCTTGGAAGATCCACATGGAGAGCTATACAGACATCACTCCATCTCTTGCATGGAGCCCAGAGAAATTCTGGAGGGATCCTATGAAGAACAGGATACAGCCCTGATGGGGGGGGGGTCAATGCCCCCAAAACGCATTGGCTGTTTTAGCTCCTCCTGTTTATAAGATAACACTAATATTTAAAGATTTTAGTCTGGACTCGTTGGACTTTCTACACCCGGATCGCATTCTTTGGGTCACCTAGATGAGGGGCGCCCTGTTTTTGTTGAGAGCTGCTACTGGCCTCCATTATGAGCTGTAGGGCTGCAACAACTAATCCACTAAATACAATTCTGATCGATGATTGAAAAAGTTGTCAACTTTCTCAATTATCGATTAATCGGCTTTCGATTTAGTTGGCCCTGTTCACGGCTCCACGCACGCTGCGCGCCGCACCTCCTCACGCTCGCCGCTGCCAGACCCGCCCGCATCCACGCGCCGTACCTCCTCCCCGCCTCACATCAACGATCTGCACAGGGACGCGGGGAGAAGTAAGGAGGAGCAGGTGTTGGGGGATGGCAGCCGCCGACAGACAGGCCCAATCTCAGAAGCAAGTCGCTGGAAGACTGCTCAGGTAAGCCTGCACCGCCCCACACATGGTGCTCTATAATGTATTGCTGGGATTTTAGCTGGTGGTATTCTGCATTGCGCTGTATAGAGGACTACAAATCCCAGCAATACATTATACAGTGCAATGCGGAATACTGCCAGCTATAGAGGACTACAAATCCCAGCAATACATTATACAGTGCAATGCGGAATACTGCCAGCTATAGAGGACTACAAATCCCAGCAATACATTATACAGCGCAATGCAGAATACTGCCAGCTATAATGTACTATTGCTGGGATTTGTAGTCCTCTATAGCCGGCGCCATTCTGCATTGATTGCTGTATCATTTTACACTTTCTCAATACAAACTAGTAGTCCCATCACTGGAGCCATTTTTTAAAATGTATTTTATTTTAATTTTTTTATCCGATTAATCGAACTGAATAATCGGCTAACTAATCGATTTTGAAAATAATCGTTAGCGGCAGCTCTAATAAACTGGTTTGATGTTCTTGGCAGACGGTGCTGGGATCTCCGCGGGTGGCACAAGGCCGAGATCGCCGTCTCTTTCGGGGGCCCCCCGTGGTTGTGCCGCTTCCTCTGAGATTGTCCTGTACAGAGGGAACCTGCAGCACTGGGATTCTGATGGCGGCTTTGATGATTATTAGCATTTCATTTGCATATTCTGCGTTTCTCCGGGTGTTCGGGGGCTCGCAGCGCTCGCGCGCGTTTCCTCCCCGTAATTAGGGGAATTAATTCTTGGAATAAGTGCAATGCAATCAGTTCCTTTCAGAAGCTCCACAGCAAGCCGGTCATCCAGAAAATGAAAGGAAGCCATTGTAGGGAAAGCGGTGCGTCTGCTAATTGCGTAATCATAGAGGGGATCTGCAGTGCGTGCGCCCTCCGCAAAGGTAAACCCCGCGCGCCCCGCCATTTGTCGGGACCGACCCTCCCACCCGCCATTATCTTATCTGATACAACCGAGGTGTCTCACTGCGCCGAAACGTTGCCCAAAGCCGGACGCATCGGTCAGATCTCCCGATGATTGTGATTAAAGGTCAGAGAATGTTCCGTCCTTGTAGTCAGAGAGGCTGAAATTATGAAACACAGAATATTGGGGGGATCAGCGATGGGGGAGGGGGCCCAGATATAAATAACATCAACATTTCACTTGTCTTCTGTTGGCATATTAGAGTGTAAGCTCCTCTGTACAGAGACTGATGTGACTGTGGGGGAGGGGACATTAGAGTGTAAGCTCCTCTGCACAGAGACTGATGTGACTGTGGGGGAGGGGACATTAGAGTGTAAGCTCCTCTGCACAGAGACTGATGTGACTGTGGGGGAGGGGACATTAGAGTGTAAGCTCCTCTGCACAGAGACTGATGTGACTGTGGGGGAGGGGACATTAGAGTGTAAGCTCCTCTGCACAGAGACTGATGTGACTGTGGGGGAGGGGACATTAGAGTGTAAGCTCCTCTGCACAGAGACTGATGTGACTGTGGGGGAGGGGACATTAGAGTGTAAGCTCCTCTGCACAGAGACTGATGTGACTGTGGGGGAGGGGACATTAGAGTGTAAGCTCCTCTGCACAGAGACTGATGTGACTGTGGGGGAGGGGACATTAGAGTGTAAGCTCCTCTGCACAGAGACTGATGTGACTGTGGGGGAGGGGACATTAGAGTGTAAGCTCCTCTGCACAGAGACTGATGTGACTGTGGGGGAGGGGACATTAGAGTGTAAGCTCCTCTGCACAGAGACTGATGTGACTGTGGGGGAGGGGACATTAGAGTGTAAGCTCCTCTGCACAGAGACTGATGTGACTGGCGCAGTGCTCTTTGTACGGCACTGCGGTATATGTCAGAGCTATACATTTAGTAAAGAATGACTCGGAGGAGGGGCAGCCCATTCCCTCTATCATAGTCAGTTACACACAGGCTGCCAACAAGCGTGCATTTAGGACGTTCTTTCCTATTGGACGGATCAGTATTTTGTGTGTTATAAAAAGATTGAATGTAAATAATTCCGGATTTGATAGGATTTGTTTTATTCAGGGATTGGAAATGAATATAAATACTAAAATTGTCCCCAAACATATAGACAGCGGCACGGTGTGATATTGTAGTATCCATGACATCATAATCTGATCTGTTGGTTCTCTTTCAGATGTTTGATTGGATCACTCACAACAAGGAGGTCTTCCTGCAGGGTCACACGGAGATCGGGATGAGTTACCAGCACGCCCTCGACCTGCAGACCCAACACAACCACTTCGCCATGAACTCCATGGTAAGACGCGCAGAGTCCGCTTTGTATTTTATGGTTTTGTCCGTCTCCGGAACCCGCTGCGGGCGCTTGTACCGCCTCTCCTTAGGGAAAGGAATGTGACGCTGATGATGATGATTTCCTTGTTGTCGGCTTGGTTTTCGGATGGAATACATTGTTCCCCGATAGGATTTGGTGATCACCCCTCCCAGACAGAGTCCCCTTCCATCTGCCCTGAACATGGGGCTGGGCTGAGGGACAGGCAAAGGGGGCAACTTCCTTGGGGGCTTTAGTAGGAGACGAGGTGCAAAGAGGGGGCACCCTAAGCTGCTGAAATGGGGGGGGCACTTTGGCCTTTTCTTGGGTGGCAAAATACCTTGTCCCAGCTCAGCCTGGACAACAATGGCGCGACTCCTTACCCCAATGTTGCCAGAACTCGCCGTCATATATACCGTATGGAGGAAGTCACAAGGATTGCACACACGCCGCTCTCGTGGAGATTGTGGTGAGATCGGAGTCCCCCTTTAAGAAACCAGCGAACATTGGGGAGGAATCGAGTTGCCGCGCGGCGTAGGCGTTCGGCTGTCATTTTGATTTCACGCAGAACTGTCTCCGCTGTCAGCGCCGTATTCCCTTCACCCGATACAATGTTTCCTTGTCAACGTTCTGTTGGGTATTTTGTTATGTTTCTGGATCTCGGGAGTGCCGAGGACAAAGGAGGAGAATTCAGCATAGAAAAGGACCAATCACAACGCCGTCTTCACCCGTATAGGAGGGCGGGGTCAGTCACCCCGACTCCACAATGCAGCAAATCCTCCATGAGACCTGCAGATCAAAGAGAACCTGTCAGATGGTGGAATGGGAAGGACAGTACGCAGGGGCCCCCAGCGCGGCTTTCTATCCCGCCAGCGACGCTGCAGGTTAAACGCAGATGAATCCGGATCCAGCCGCCGTCTCCGGCGCCAAGTGGCCGCGTTCTGAAGGAAGTAAAACCCTCACTTCCTGTCCATTGCACGCAGGGAACTCATAAGGAGGATCTTCAAATGTTCTTTCGTTCAGCTTTGATCTGCAATACAGGTAACCCCGGCCACATGAGGTATCGGGCCCCGCCCAGACCCCACCCACTTACCAGAGTGGCCCACCCAAAACCCACCTCCTAATTATGAGGGGACCACACACAGAGGGGCTCTGTGACCGAGACACGGCATCATGGGAAATGAGGTCCAAGATTCGGGACTGTCCCGGGAAATTCGGGGTATTTGCGTGTGGTGGGGGAAGGAATTCCAAATGAAAATCTTCTGCAATATCAAAAAGAATAAAACATGAAACATTGTAACAATATAAAGTGATCAGAAGTATTAGGATGTATCTAAAGCCGTTATTGTTGTTTTGGATGGAGTGCGGGAAGTTGGGGACCCCCATCAGGTATTCGTTACTGTCCGTGTCACTCTATATCTCTGGATGACTGTTGTCACCAGGCAAAGGGGAACCCAACAGTTTGAGTTGTCAGCGGAACAGGAACTGAGCAGAAATCCTCCAATGGGGACTCCTGTTTTGGTAACAACTAAGAGGGGATTTCTCTCCCTTACAAGGAATCGCTTCTTGTTCCGTCTTCAGTGCAGGAAGTGGAGGGAAAATCCAAAATTTGTAACCGGACATGAGGGGAAAAAATCTCAAATGGGGACACCTGTTTTGGTGGCAACCGTATAATAGAGGATCTTCCTTCCTTTGTAGAGATCACATCTCCCTTCCTGTTGTGTCTGCCGGACAGGAAGTCATGGAAAATCTGCCCAATAGGACACAGACCACAACTAAAACCTAACATACAGTAAGAATGCCACACTGATGGACAGAGAGGATTATCAGATGATCAGTAGAAGTAGGGGGCGTAACTAGAAATAACGGGGCCTTCTTACCTGTCGGCCCCGATCCGCTGTCAGCCTCTTCCACGGTCGCCGGTGGCCCCCGCCTCCTCTGTTATCGACGGGCCCCGCCTCCTCTTTCATCGTCGAGCCCCGCCTCCTCTTTCATCGTTGAGCCCCGCCTCCTCTTTCATCGTCGAGCCCCGCCTCCTCTTTCATCGTCGAGCCCCGCCTCCTCTTTCGTCGTCGAGCCCCGCCTCCTCTTTCGTCGCCGAGCCCCGCCTCCTCTTTCGTCGCCGAGCCCCGCCTCCTCTTTCGTCGCCGAGCCCCGCCTCTTTCGTCGCCGAGCCCCGCCTCCTCTTCTGTCACGGGGCCCCATCTCCTCCGCCGTCGCCGGGCCTTACCTCCTCAGCGGCTGGCTATCACTGACTCACTGAGGTTGTCGGTGATCTGAACAGCGGCGCGTTCCTCCTCACGCCCGCCAGTGTCAGCCAGCAGTCTGAGATGCCATAGCGACCAGGGCGGCCCACACGGCATCAGGGGGATGTCCTGGCCGGGCCCCATAGTGGCCGCCTGGGTCGCTATGGCGATTGTTACGCCCCTGAGTAGAAGGAAAGCCAAGGCGTTTCTGGGGTTCAGACCCTCTCCCCTCCTCCAGGGGTGTATTGTGTCATCTCAGATATGGAGGGTTGTGATAATGGTTCTCTGTGTGAGTTCTACTAATAATACAATACATAAGCCCTGAAGGAGGGAGACTGAACCCCCGAAACGTGTTTAGCTTTCTACTGATTGAATAATAAAACATAATTATGGACTATAGGTTGGCCCTATTATTGCTTCTTGTATATTCAGCCTTCTCTCACCCCCCCTCCTTTTTTGGGGGTGTCCTTGTATATAGAGTATGAGCGGCCTCGGCAAAGGAGAGTCTTTCTCAGCACTGATATTAGAAGCTCTGGCACTTCTCCTTCTATGGGCAGCGGATAAAACCCGACAATTCCCCAACTTCAAAATATAAGAATGTGGGGGTGTAGATGTAAAGTTCGGGGGGCTCCCCCCAAATGCCTCCACACTGACCCCCCTGTATTATATGTATTCTCCTGCTGTAGCAGATCGGAGGTTGTACGCGGGATTGCGGCTCTTTGTCGCCGGGCTCGTCGTCTTTTTCCTCCGCCTGTGTGGCCCATTGTGCCGTTCTGGCTCCCATGACCCCCCCCTCCCCATGGTGGGGGCCCCCCCTTTGCTCTGGAGGTTGGGGGCCGGGTGAATGGATGAACAAATGATTGGTTATCTTATTACCCAGCATGCTCTGATTGGTTATCTTATTACCCAGCATGCTCGGTTTGGTTCCCTTATTACCCAGCATGCTCTGATTGGTTGTCTTATTACCCAGCATGCTCTGGTTGTCTTATTACCCAGCATGCTCGGTTTGGTGCTGTTATTACCCAGCATGCTCGGATTGGTTCTCCTATTACCCAGCATGCTCGGATTGGTTCTCCTATTACCCAGCATGCTCGGATTGGTTCTCCTATTACCCAGCATGCTCGGATTGGTTCTCCTATTACCCAGCATGCTCGGATGGGTTCTCCTATTACCCAGCATGCTCGGTTTGGTTCTCCTATTACCCAGCATGCTCGGTTTGGTTCTCCTATTACCCAGCATGCTCGGTTTGGTGCTGTTATTACCCAGCATGCTTTGTTGGGCCCCTCTTATGTACCGGCAGACACATTACCCAGCCTGCCCCGGGCTCCCTGCCACGTTGGGGAATGTCTGGTAACGGATTCCTCGTGTCGGCGTTCTCTCCCGGCTATAAACATTTCGGTGTTTTTTGGCTCCGGTGCCGAGTTTATGACTAATTTGCGTCTTCTGTGATTTCGGAGGATTAATTGTGAACTCGGAGAATTCCCTCTTATCTTCGATCCCGAGCGCGCCTCATTGTGCCCTCGCCCGTGTCGCGGCATGTACATGAACACGCGATGTCACACGCGTGTGCCCCCCCCCCCTCCCCCCCAGGCATGGAGGAATTATCGCCGATTAAAGGATTATCAGGCTGCTAATGCCGCGCGCCGTGTAACCAGATTTACGGGCGGTTATAAATCTATACGGAAACGCCGAGCCGGTATTCAAATTGATTTCCCCTTTATTGACGGGAGCCGCGTGCTGGCGCCGGAGTCCGGTGACTGATGTCCTCTTATAAGCCCCATTCACATGACCTCTGGCGCGTGTTGCGGGACCAGTCCGAGGTGAGACTTTTAGGGACTGCGCCCCTCGATGATAAGATATCGTTCCCCATTCTATAGGTGCCTCTGAAGCCCAACTCCAGCCGAAGCCTTCTTCTTTTGTCTTGGATAGAGCAGACATGGGGTGGAGTCTGAGTCAGGGGGTTTCTTATCCCTAATATGGAGACTTTCCTGCACTTCCTGTCAGGACAGGAAGTGGTGGGAAATCTCTCATGCAGTGACGCACCCCATACGTAGCCGGGAAGAGTCCGAACTTCCAACCAATGTTTTTTTTATTGCGGTCTGTGCCTTCCTGTCTTAGTGACAACCGATACACTCCACTTGTTGCATGGGGGTCCCCGGGACAGGAAGTGAGGCGATTCTACCCAGTGGGGTCACAGTCAGAAATTAAACCTGACAGAAGTTTCTCTCGTCCCCACTCTGTCGAAAAATGATGATTTGAGGTTGGGCTTCAAAGCTGAAGTTTAATCTGTTCATAATTTCCTGTCCCCGGTTCCACCCCTCCCCCCATCATCAACATGCTAATGAGATTTTTAAATCAAAACTTTCATTTTAGATGTGGTGAGGTCATCACTGGGACCCTGTGCTTCTCTGTCCAATGCAGGCCGATCATGACTGGTGGGAGGGGCCGGCAGGGTGCCGTGCATAGCTCCCTAAAAAAATCACAGCACCTTGCCTCGGTACTCCTCTCAAGTGGGCGGGCTCTTGGGAGGAGTTATGCAAATATCAAAATGCCTTGATTGGTGGGTGTCAGTCTGGAGGAGTGGGCGGTTCCAGGCAGACTGTATTTGCATGCAGACCGCCCTAGGTAACGCCCACATGTGACGCTCAGCCTCCGTGATTGACAGAACTGAATTCCAATGAATGAAAAGGGGGCGGGGCAGAAGTTGTTCAGCTTGCTGGGCGAGATCTGGAAGTGCCGCCCACGACTCGCTATTGATCAATGTTCTCTTTCATCTGAACAGATAATATCGAGCGATTAGTAATCGATAGAATCCCGGGGTGGCCCCTGTGCGGGACGTCCAAGGGTTAAAGATTTGTAGTGTTTTCTAGTTGAAATTTGGGTTGGCCAGATATAGTTACAGCGCAGTCACGGCCTTTGCACGCAGGCCCTAATGAAAGTCAATGGTGTTTTGGCGGGAGGCGGGGGGTTGGAGGGGGG